ATTACTATGGTAAATGTCTAAATACATGGTAATACCATGGTACTGGATGATTATCATATCCATGGTAAAATTGACATGGTATTCCAATGTACCTTGAAGAATACCATGGTACAGTGTCCAAAAAGTACTTAAGGAATAACATGGTATATGTACTTTAATATGGTAATGAATGTACATGTGCCATTATATTACATAGCACTCCTCCAAGCTGCTCCAAAAATACCATCCATGGTGAACTGACATATACCATGCAATTTACAGTATTTATTCCAAGGTACTTCAAAGAAAACATGGTATTGCATGAGACTGGATGATTACCATGTCTATATAAGACAATATTTAATTCAAAGTACTAGTGGGCATACTATGATATTACCATGGAACGGTGATTAAGATATAAACATGGCCCAATTTTTCCGTACTCAAAGAATACTATGGGAAATACACTTTGATAAAGTATCAAGTATGGTATTACAATGGGTCTGGATGATTACATAGCCATATACTACAGTACTTACTTGGTACTCCAAAGTACTTTAAAAATGACCATGGTACCAGGATTGTGTAAGTGCTCCAGAGGTGTGTTTTGGAGATGCAGATGTTTGTTTGTGTAGGGGAAACACACACACACACACACACACTGTCATGCGATTCAAAGCACTCATCTGAAGGAGGTTGAGGATCTCAAGACGTAACCTCACTAGCTCATCTGCCGGATCTGTATATTAGTGGCATTATATTTCAGATTCCAAGCCTGTATGACTGTATTAATTCACTAAAGGAGATGTTTAGGCAGAATGCATGAGCTTTATTTTCCATGCAATGAAAGTAGCTGGTGATTTCTACTGTATTTGAGCTCTATTAACTCATCTGTTGGACTCGTGCATTAGAACTCAAATCCTGCAGTTCAGTTTGTTTCTAGATGAGTTTGTGTGTTCATCAGGTTTGGAGAAATGTAGCATTGCATCAGTGTCTCAGCAATGGATGCTCTGCAGTGAATGGGTGAGTGTGTGTGTGTGTGTGTGTGTGTGTGTGTGAGTGTGTGTGTGTGTGTGTGAGTGTGTGTGTGTGTGTGTGTGTGTGTGTGAGAGAGAGAGTGTGTGTGTGTGTGTGTTCTCATTAGTGTTTTCAGGGCAGATCAGTGCTGATGCTCCTCAAATGTTCAGACCTTCAATTAAACTTCAAACCATTGCATTCAAACTTTATTTTATAGATCATTTCATTTGTAGATGTGTTGTTTGTTTTTACATTCAACAAAGTTTAAGTTTGAAAATAGCCTTAGTGTATTAGTCCCTTGAAGTATTATTTCTATGTTATTATAGTATTTATTATTTTGAATAGCTTTTCATTCGTATGTGTGTGTGTGTGTATATATATATATATATATATATACAATTTTAGTTTAATGTAAATTAAGTTAAAATAATATTCAGCTATTGTTTGAATACAGCTAATTTTGATTTTAGTTTTAGTAATTTTAGCACTTCAATTTTAACTTATTTTAGTTGCCGAGGCGACATTTCAATTTCAAAATTTAAATGTACGTTTTTCATTTAAAATTATATTTTATTTCACTTTAACCAAAATTACTTTTAATAGTTTGTGAATAACAGTACTGGTCATTAAATCATGGACGTGTTCAATTATTTTGAATGAACTTTTATTATTTATTTGAATAAATATTTTACGTTTATTATACTGTAGTATTTTCAATTTAATTTCCGTTTTAATTTTATTATTTAATTTTCGTTTAGGTAAAACTTACATTTCAGTTAAACCAAAAATATGAAAATCTATTCTATTTAACTTTGTATTTATATTTCAGTTTTAGTAGTTTTAGTTTCTGAAGTTGAAGTTTTTCATCTAATATTTTAATTTATTTCAGCTTTATTTCAATTAAAAATGTTTTTAGTTTCATGTAAAATAACAGCCCTGCTGAAGTGTTACTAGTATATTTTGCTGCTGTGTTCTTGTGGTTGAATGAGCTGATAGATCAATATGCTGTGAGAGTATTTCACTGAGACCAGACACAACACACACTCATCTTATACTCACACACACACACAC